GCTAAGACTTTTGCACTTTTTTTTGGTTGAATTCTCCTCCTCTTTTCTTAGAGATGCCGAAAGTTCAATCATGCGTGAAATGGCCACTCGGAATTTTGATTGAACCAGCGTGTGAACAGACCACGGGAAAATTTCCTATACCTGTCGGCGAACCCAAACACAAAAAATAATAGTCATAATAAAAATGTATCATCTTAAAAGCGATATTTTCCTGCTTCTTTGCATTATATATGAAAGTGGAAGCAGTCTCTGTCAGTTAAAATCTTTACGTGAAAATGATTCTCCCCAAATTTACTGCGTAGGCGAGGTAGAAAAATCACGTGCTAGGCAACCACAAAAAATGCAAGCGACTTTTGCTGGCTGGGTGTGGGTTTGTTTTTATGTCACAGATTTGATATCCAGACCTTGCGATTTCATTTGATTATTTTATATAAAATGAACACGAAATTTGCTAACAGTTTGTCGCATTTAGAACTGGAAAATTCAGACTGACGAATCTTTAAATGATCCCCCACCAAAAAAAACGAAAATTTGTGGGCAGTACTGCAGTAGCTAGAAAAATCACGTGCTAGGCAACCTCACAAAATTCAGACAACCTTTCCTTATGGAGGGCAAGTATGTTTTTATGTGACAAATTTGTTTTTCAGGCAGTATCTGCACTCATGCGTTCTTAGTTTTTGTCTTGCCTTAACGCTAAAACCGTCCAAATGGAGGTTACTTTTCGACAACGATCTTGAAAATGGAGTTTTAAAAAAAGGCTAGCCTGCGTAGCAAGCGTTTTCCCTCGAGTTATTGCGCGAAATTTGGAGCGAGAGCATTGTCAACGAGCTCGGCTGGAAACGACCGAAAAATTTGAACCCGGATACGCAGACTAAAGGCCCGTTTATCCACGACCGAAAATATTGGAACGGCCCGGATAAAAAAAGCCGAACGGCTCCGACAAAATTCGTCACATGCGTGTAAACGGTATTCTTGACCCGCTTACCAGTTGTATCCGTTCCGTTCCTTGAATTTGAAAAGGTCCATAGGCGGTTATGGAGCCTTGTTTTTCTCCCCATTTTTCAGAAGAAACGAAACCGATAGAAAAACGGTTCCGTACCCACATTTTTGTTTTCTTTTCAACGTAAACAAACGCCGCCCTTTTTCGGTACCGTTCTGTTACGGTACTTTTTATGAGCCCGTGGTGCTCCACGTTCTGTTCAGTTGTTTAGCGTGGTGTCCACGTCACATGTGTGTTAGAAGAAGAAACTGGAAAGTATTCTTCGACACTCGGAAGCTAGCATACCACTGATCATCAGAGTAAGTGCTGTATGTAAGATCAAACCTAGCGCTTGTTCTTGGAATTTGCCAGAAGCCCCTTTCGACTGTAAAGTGCGATACAAGGGCTGTTAATAGGAGAACCGTAAGCCTTGTTTTTCTCCTAATTCGGTACATTTTTTCAGAAGAACTTCTTTGACGAATCGCACGCGCTGTCAAACGTGAATTTCATGTTCTCTTCTTTAGAAGAAACGAGAAAAGTGCTTGTAAACCTGCATCCATGAATGTCGGAGATTAAGCGCATATGAACAACTAATCGAAGCAGTTTTATTTAATTATCGCGGGCTCTATCGTTACCGGTCTCGAAGAAAACAACGTGTAAACAGTCTAGTACCCGTTCCAAGGGGCTCTCAAGTACCGTGCCTTTCTCTGTCGGGCACATTACAGAATTTGTACGTGTAAACAGGAGATTTCGTCTGGAACCGGTACTTGTTTCTAACCGAGCCGTTCCTTCTCTTTTAATGTGTAAACGGGCCTTAAATAAAGCAGGTGTTTCGTGCGTTTTTCATTGGGTGCGTTCACACTTCACAAAATGGTGCTTTGTCCACACTCTGGGTACCCAGGTTGTCTTTCGTCCACTTTGCTCCGTCAGCAAACGACATTTTTGCAAAAGGAGTGTAGCAAGAAGTTATGGGTCAACGGAATTATCAACCGAAAACACGTGCACACAGGGACCCGGTTCCCACTTTAGTACCCGAGTACAAGGTCTCGACCTTTTATTTTGTTGCGCCTTAGTTCAACGTAACCAAAAATGAACTTGGTCATTACACGACAACCGAGCCATCCTGCTAAACGGATTCAGCCCGCTGCGTGTAATCAGTACCTTTGCTTTTATTTTGGCGTGAACCAGAGTGAACGTGGCAGACATGCTCGAATCACTATTAAAAAAGAATGCCATTTAGATTTGCTATAATATGGAGTCTTTTAATAGACTGAAAGTCCATCTTCGGATTTTAGCAAGGCGGGGGTTGAAGGTATAGTAGAATTGTGACAATAACAGGTTACTACTGTGTTTAATTTTTGTAGTATTAAGGGCTGCGATGTTACGTTCACGAGGTAGCGGTTACTTACAGAGGTAGACCGCTTATATCTGTTTTGTAAAAACGGTCGAGAGGTCCTGTTATATTGTTATTTTATTAGGTTGAAAGAAGTGGTCTTTATTTACAAGACGATTTTAGTCGAGTAGCGAGATTCCCCAACGGTTTGGGTAACTTTGAAACGACATTGTGGCTCGATAGAACGTCGCTTGAGGTCAAGGGCACAGATATGGGAGCTGCAGACAACACTGCACTACTACCATCACCGCAAGATTTTGGCATAGCCAGCACCAGCAGCACTAGTGTGCCACCAGGAGCCTATAACGTACATGATCCGCCATCCAACAGGAGTCAGTCTGCTCATCGAAATCCCTCTTTCTCATCAGGCTCAACCAGACCTTTTAGATCATCGGGAGAGATTCGCAGAAAAGTTTTCCTCGCAGAATTTGACCTTGATAGCATGACTCCTGCCCCGACGGCCAGTGCCTACTTAAAACTAAAGCCTGAACAATGCACGGTGACAGATGTTGCTCAAATTTCGAAAGAGTACCTCAATATTGAAGAGGATTTAATAATGTTGGACACCAATGGCTTTGAGATTCTGGACAATCCGGACGTGCTCCACGTTGAATTATCATTATTATTCACAAACTGAAAGCTTTATTATTAAACAAGTTTCTTTTAAATTTGGCGAGGCGTTATCTCAGTTTCGTTCGATACTATGGAGGTGAATCAGTACTTGCTGCTTCTCACTATGGTACGTGGGCATCGTTGATTGGCTGTTTTATCGACTCGCAAAAACCATATGCTTGTCGTTGTAGTGCATAATTGTTAATGAGATGTTTAATTCATACTCCTCTACCCAGAGCCGTTCCACAGCATGGTTCTTTAATTAAGAATTATAAAAGCAGAACAAATACTTATCAGCTTATCAATACTAGACTCGCCAAAGACTCCTGGGGGCCAGAGCACGAGGATCAGGAGGCTCTGAAGTCCTAGATTTTAGGGCTTCCGGTCATTTCTGATTTTTTACAACGTTTCTAACAGCGTTCGCTTGGTCTTGCCGAAGTGCCAATGACTGTTAATTTAGGTGATTCAAAGCTTTTAAAAGAGAATCCTGTAACTTACTTTTGAATCGGAAATAACCGGAAGTCCTAAAATCTAGGACTTCAAATGCTGGGTCACAGACCCTCCTGGTCTTCGTGCTGAGGCCCTCAGGAGGGTCTGGGGACGAGAATGCAGAATCAGTTGCCGTTTAAGTATGGAAAGAGGGATGCATGGCGGAGGACTTGCAGCCTGAAGCTATTGTTGACGACGTGCTAGCACTGAAGGCGTCAGGTTTTCAACCTGCTCTTAAGGAGTTATATCTTCTTTAACACCTTATTTCAGAAAACCCGCGAAAATTTGGTTTTTCAGGTCCACGCCGACCGATCACTATAGAAAATAACCGGTTCATTTCTCCTTCCCTCTATATTACCACGTACCTGCTTTGACTGTGTTTGTATGTATGGCTGTCTAGATGTATTATTTCGTAACTCCTTTAAGTGATCCTGAACGGTCAGCACTAGATAAAATTCTCTCCCATGGTCCACTCTCACTTGGTCAAACAAACCATGACGTAGTATGGTTTCCTTAGTAATAGAACAAGTGGATGACGAGTATCATTAAATTGTACCTTTTAATTCAAGTGAGAAGTTTTGAGAGTTTTTTATACCTGAAAAATGTGCACGGCAAATAATATATATTTCATGTCGGAGCTAACCTGAACACATCCCTGTAGATGGTGATATTATTTTTCAATGGCATTACCGATGTAGCAGTTATAAAGGAGCTATAGCCATCTACTGCTATAACCTCTGTCACGCCATAACGAATAAGTTTTTCGTTTTGATCAAGATGGAGCTTGTGTCCAAAGTATTCGGCATAGTATGGAACAGGGTTTTAAGTGGCGGGTAATGGATGTCTGTCGTTCATGGTGCTGGCGTGGATTAACGCGTTTAAGTGTCTGCCCCACTCTGTTTACTCCTAGTCGCAAGCCTGTGGAATACTTGATGTGGCCAGTCATCATCTTCCTACCGTATGTAGCACCAACCTTTCAGAAATATAAGGAATTATGCCTTTATTAGGAAATCGCCGCTAGGAAATGAAATATTTGGGTGTGGATGATGAGGCTGTTAAATTAGATATGAATTAATATAACTACTTAAATAAAATTGACAAACGCGTGCATTTCACGTACAATAACGTGTCTCCTCCCCCCGGAGGGGAACTCCTTTATTCGGCCTAAAGGGCATGTGCTGCTGGACAGGGCATAGTTTTCGTGATATTGATTCTTATAATGGGTATACAATTTCACTTTTCTAGGTCTTGAACAGGGTGTCTTTCTGAACCGGAGGCCTTGAACAGGGGATGATTGCTGGCATTGTGCAGTCAATGGATGGCAACAACATATTTTTTTAAGAAATCTAGTCCTATCATGTTATTTTTTCACAAATAAAAATACTAATTCTGTAGACGTATAGAAATAAATAATCTTAAGGGTTATGAAAATGGTCTCTTGTATTAAACAGAGTATCGGAATGGATGGTTGTTGTCGTAGATAGGGTTTGAAAGCCTCAGCGGCACACCCCTAGCGAAACTTCCGATAAGTGCCCCCCCTGGGTTTCCTACGCACTGGCAAGCATTGAAGTTTGAGTCGTCACTCAACACTTCTCTCTGTTTAATAAATATATATAATTCGGGAAAGAGAGTAACCCGTTGGCCCTAATGACGGCTGCAGACGGAAGACTAATAAGACAATTTGCAACTGGCAGAGGTATGCTACGATATTACACACTAGCTGAATCTAATATTATAAAGGGAAGCTACAATCACCTCAGCAATCGCAGATGTAACCACATTGTGAACATCAACACCAGTCACACGAGAATCATAACGCCGTATGCCATTCGTAGCACAAAATCGCCTGACACTCCTCTCAGATAGTCCATTCACTCCTGGATGCTGTTGTCTTAAAATATCAGCCACTTCTTTTTGTGTTTTGCCTTGCTCTTCAACAAGCTCCTTCACGTAGCGGGCAGTAACTACGTTTTCCATCCCCGCCATTTTTGAAGGACCCGCGAAAATAGACGCATACCACGGTTATAAAAACTGCTGATCAACAAGACCTAGACGAGTTTCCGAAAGGAACCACCAACCCCCACTCAAACCCCTCCCCCCCCCTCCTCGACCCCTCTCTGTCTCTGCTCTTGGTTCACTTAAACAGCCAGAGAAAACGAAAAAACTATAAACAAAAAATTAGGTTATATCCAGTTCTTTCTTTCATTGATTAGTCGTACTTACAACGAAAAACGATAGAACGGAAGTCAGTTTCCGTTTGTATGTTTTTGTGTGTTTTAGTACATAAAAGGAAAAACGATAAAAAGGAAGTCGTTTGTCGTTTTTCCGTTTTTTGCGTTTGTTCGTACCAAAAACGAACAAAGATAAAACGGAAGTCGATTTTTGTTTTTCCTTTTTTGTGTTTTCTCGTACATAAAAGGAAAAACGATAAAACGGAAGTCATTTTTTGTTTTTCCGTTTTTTGTGTTTGTTTGAACATAAAAGGAAAACGATAAAAAAGTCGAATTTCGTTTTTCGTTTTTTGTATTTCTTTTTTCGAAAATACAAAAAACGATAAAACGGAAGTCAAATTTTGTTTATCTTTTTTTGGAAAAGGATAGCATAAAACAGTAAAAAGAAGATGTTGAGTAATTTTTGTTATGGAGGGATAAGATTTATGGATTCAAGAAAAGAAACAAGGACTTCTGGAATTTTGGCAATTTTTGGAGATTTTACCATTATTTTTAAGCGCAAAAATTCTTTGGCGCCGTCATATTATAAAATTTCAATAAAAAGGTGTTTTTAAAGCAAAAACAATTTCGACACTTGTAACATAATAAAAGAATTAATCGAAAAAGATGTCAATTTCATATCTTTCTGTTTGCTCAACATGGAACAGAAAATTTAAAAAAAGGGTTGGCCGAACCGTGCACGGACCCCCCGGCCCCCCCAAAAAGGAACAATAAAGTAAAAAATAATCGTAGTGGGAAAAAAAAGGCAGCATGACTTTTATGTCATGCTGAAATGCTGGGTGTGTTCAAGTCATGTCTCTGTTTCCTGTAGCGTGAAGATTAATTATATTAGGATCTCGTTTATGGCCGAGACCCGAGAACTGCCACTGAGTCTTCGGCACATTTTTTCTTTATTATAAGTAGATTGAATGTAAAACAAAATGAAAATAACATTTAAATCAAATAAAAATGCAATAAAATGTACAACAAAATGCAAGTAAAATCTCAATCAAAATACAAAGTTAACTCCATTCACCCGGCCCAGGCCTCCAAACCAATGACTCCCATAAAGCCATTCGCGGTTTGGTTTGTATCCGCCATTTTGTTCCATGACGACAAACATGGCTGACTCTACTTGGAAAGAGGATGATAAGTTAAAAGAAGCCATGACATAGCTTGTTCAGCAAGGACTCCAAAGGATCGAGACCCTGGACTTTCTTAAACGTGACTTCCCACAGTATCCTTGGAGCTTGAGAACTCTTGACAGGCGACTTCGTCACTTTGACATTTTCTACAACGACAAGAGTGTACCAAAATTCGACATTCCCATTGGCTATCTATGGCTGCCTTGACACAGCAAGTAGAAAACTACTTTGGTTACGAGTCTGGACATCGAACTGTGACCCCAAAGTGATTGGACGGTGGTATTTCGATTATCTTTACGAGACAAGAGTGATGGCTGCAATGCTGAGGGTAGACAGGGGCACAGAAACAGGGGTAATGGCTACATTGCATTCCTTCTTACGAAGACATCATGGTGACATGGACCCAAGTGACTCTGTTGTTTATGGACCTTCAACTGAAAACCAGGTAGCTTAGTTACTATACAAGTTCTTACAATATACATGGAGCCATTTTTAACGTTTAGCTTTGAAATGAGTTCTTGTGAGGGGGCGAAAATTTTGCTCAGTCCATTGATAATGCTATCCTGTTTGGGTAGAGAGGGGAGGGATTATCATCTACTATACTGCTTATAATTCTAGAGGAGACGACAGATGCTAAGTCATTACAATGTCATTTCAGGTATAGATTTCATGCACAGATTATAACGCCTGGTTTATGCAAAAAAGGTCATTTTTGAATCGCTATTTTGAAAACTATTTACAGCTATAATAAAGTGAATTATAGTGTATTATCGTTTGTCTCACAGTGCACAGTGTAGTCACTTGAAGGAAGTAGAACGTAACGTTTCCACTGTAAAAATTGTAAAACACGGTTGCACCACACGGTGGCTTCTGTAGTTATGCAGTCTTCAGAGCCATGTTGTAATATATTAACTAAATTCTCAGGTTATTGCTGGGAACATTCCATGCCAACATAATTGTGTTGACCTCTCACCTTGTTTGTAATTCAATCCTAGATTGAGAGATGGTGGAGAGAGCTACACGAGTGCATGGAGAAATACTATAAAGGTCATTTGTGTTGGCTCAAGGACCAAGGCCATTGTCATCCACATGATGACAAAGACTTGTCATCCACATGATGACAAAGACAGGTTGATTCACTATGCATTTCCTCAATGTATCATTCACAGTGAAACCTGTATAAAGGGGACCTTATTAAGCGAGCACCCTGTGTTAAGCGGCCACTGGAGCATTGCCCGAAGGTGTCCTCTTAATACAGGTTACACTGTGTTTATATACCTTGGAGATTGGGCTCCATGTAACCTCCCTACCTTTTTCCTGGGGTCTCTTCTCTCTCACTCCAAGAGGGTGGGAACATTAGAGACCCTGGTAATGAGGTTGCTAACTTCCTGTGCTTTTTGTACCTGGTAACTGTCAATGCAACTCAATATTATGATTGAACTGAAAAACGAATGATAAAAAAACAAGCCAGTTCTAATGCATGTAAATTAGGCTTTGTCTCTGGAAAGCCAAGGTTCAGTGTCAAGAGATATGGAATATTATTTGTGGCGTGAATGGTTGGGAGATGTTATGTTTTTTTTTTCAATTAGGCAGACATAAAACAACCAGGGTTGTAACTCTGCGACATTTTAATTCTGTTGTGTTCCTCTCCAATCGTATAGGATGCTTCTGGCGTTCATCATGATACCGCTAATACAGAAAGATCTAGATGTCTTTAGAGAGTCGGTTTGGAACACTCATAGGATACGTGCACAGAAGGACACGATTCTTCCAGGTGGCATTCCAAACCACATGTACAGTTTCCCTGAACAGTATGGCCTGGAAGAATGTGGTTTGTGTGGAACACCTGATACCATTTCAGACTTGGCATTATTCTCGTTTTGGTAATTTTCTCTTTGATTTTTCATTTGCATTACATTACAGGTCTCCAAGTTACAGAAGAACAGCTCAGCTTCTCAGTCTGGAGTGCTGACTGTTCCTGACGATTTTCTGCAGCCTGAATTTAGAGCAGAATGCGAACGTGTCTTACCAGATAGTGAAACGATTAGACCCCATGAATGCAGGGATGCATACATTTACTTAAAAAATAACTTCCAGCTGTGATTGTCTGTATTGTAGGCACTAGTGGTCCTTAGGTTGCACTAAGCTTGTGATGGGGCAGCTGGGGGATGCTCCTTCTAGTCAATAAAGTTACATAGTGTGCATAAGTTCAAGATAGATGTGACAAAAATTATTTCTGGTAAAGAAAACAATCTCTGAAACATTTTTTGTACATTGTTTTTTTTATTGACTAACAACAACTGAAAATATTATGTCATATAACGTTTCAATCATTAAACTTTATAATGTTTCACTTTTATTAATTTCTTGTAACATGGAATCAGCAAAAACGAAATTCCATAGTGGTGAAAGACCCACATTTAGGACTATTGGTACTTTCTAGAACTGTAACACTATAAAAGTAACACGTTTATATTCATAATATGAAGTTGGAACAAGTAAATTTTGTATATATTTTTGTAATTATTGATGAACTATGACAATAATGTGAACACTTCTTCAAGTTTGCCATTGGAATTAACCAGTGAAAACAAAAGTTTGAGTTGCAGAGTGATGGTTACAGCTTACATCTAACGGCAAATATGTCTACTCCATGCTGTCCTACAAAGGGCAAACACAACAGCATTCCTCATTAAAAAACAACAGTATACACAGAAAAGGGGGAGGGGTGGGGGTAGCTTATGTGGTAAACATATAGCACATGTAAAAACAGCAAAACATATCAGAAATTAACTAACTTGGTCTAAGTTTCAGCTGTAGAAGCTTGCAGTAGGAGTTGCACTGATGCACCTCAAAAAATGACTGAATTGCTCTTCCAGCCAAGTTGCCAGTACAGAACTGATAACCCCCATCCTCATTGTGTATCTAAGCTGAGGCTATTTCAGGGTCTTACAAGGTATATCCTGACCTTTGGATGTCTAAAACCATAACTTTGCCTTCTGATTTCTCATACGTAAAATGAGAAAACACCTGTGCCTTCTTACATAGCATGGTATCTTCTTCACAGACAATTCCATTGTTGTTTCTAAACTTTGCAAAGTCTCCAGGGATGAACTCCTCAACTGTTAACAGCTCCCCGTCCTCTGTTTTCCCCATGTACACAGACTTGTATTCAAACGAATCTCCGTATTCGTCAAGCTTGTCCTTTACAATTGTTTCCTTCAGCTGCGGTGCAAAGTTTCTTGCTAGATATTGCATCTGTACTGACTTTCTAGTATGTTCTTCTGTGGTCTGTCTTGTATCTTTAATGAGTTGAACAGCACTCTCCAGATAACTCTTAACAACCCATGTTCCTTTATTAAAGCCTTCTGTAATGCTTGTGGCTTTAAATGCCTTTCGGAAACCTCCAGCTGCAAACTCTTTCTCTTCTATGCCAAATTCAGCTTGGAGTGGCACTGATGACCATTCCATGTGAGCAAAGTCAAATTTGTAGATCAGGATGTTCTTGGCGTTGTTATCAACTACCCTTCCAAGCCTAAGTATGTCCTTGATAGAAAGGCTCTTTGGGTAAAATTTACTCGTTGCAGGTGAAGGCTTCACTGGGCTTGGATGGGAGGCAGGCCTTTTCTGTGGAACTTCATATGTTGCTTTCTTTTCCTGTGGACCAAGACAAAAAATATTGAACAAAAGGAAGAACTTGCAACCATGTTAAACTGCTATCTTGAACATTGATAAAACAAATTGATATAACATATTGCCAGACTTTTAAGTTCTATAATTATCGACAATGGGGGGTGAGTATTTAATCAGGGGTTCCAGACAAACACAGAGAAACTGATGAAAGCACAAGGCTGAGGGCCAAGTGCTCACTTTTGAAAAATAATTAGTATTAATTATTGGTATTGGGTATCAAGATCCGTCCACCTCACCTAAATAAATCTTATTGACTGCTGACCCAGGGGCAGATCTAGGGGGAGGGTGCAGGGGGTGAACACCCGCTCCCCCAATCCCCTGAGATGAAGCCTCTTCATATTCGCTTTTAAAATTTCTTTACATCACCAGTCAGTTACGCCATTTCTTAATGGTGTATCCCCTCCTAAGGAAAATCCTCGATCCGCCCCTGCGAACTTACGAATTATTAATGAGTTTAAGAATGCTGGTTTGTAACCTTGTAGTGGAATGTAGAAAACTATAGATTGTTATGAATCAGGGAACAAAAGTTTTCTAATTCTATCCTGGAAATTTCAATCCTCCTGGGACTTCATAGTATCAAATAGTACCAATAATCCAATGTGCTGGAAGCAACAACTGGATGCAGATTTGGTTTAATTTTGCAATTAAAACGTTTTCTAAACTTTAATACAAACTGTGGCTTTGCAAAAAGTCACTCCCCACGGATATTTCTATACACCACGAGTAAACCGGTGAGTAAACAAAACGCTTCCGCGAAGATTATTTTACTCAACTACCTAAAATGCCCTTATCAGAATTCCTAGAAGAAAGGTCTTGAGTTCATAATCCAAATCCAAAGTGCAAACAAAACTCGTGATTCATTTTGATTATTACGGGTTTATTGTGCTATTACCTTGCATTCCAACGATCCATCCTCATCGGAAACGACCGCCACTCCTTCGCGTTTTATAAACCGTATATAGAACACTTCGGGTTGGGTCCGGGAGGTACCCAGTTTGAAACTCTGACCCTGTTAAGGATAAAAAAAAAACTACACACAGTCGAACCTGTATTAAGTGGCACCGTATTAAGCGGTCACCTTTCAAACGGCGAAAATTGCGTCCCTTTATGTACTGTAATTTCGACCTCTATTAAGCGGTCGCGGTCACCATTTGCGAAGTCCTAACGGGACTTTTTCTATTGTCTTGACCTGTCAAGAAACGGTCACACGACGTCAATTACTTGTTCATGCAGTTTTAAATAATGTAACACACGAAGTACAACAATTTATTTCCTTGTTTATATTCGCAAATCATTAAAGCGCTGGGAATTAATGTTTCTATTTCAGGTCAAACTTCTGATATGATCAGCACTGGAGACCAAATTCTTTGAACTGTATTTCTTGCAACCTGTATTAGGTGGTCACTTAGGGTGATCGCTTAATACTGGTCGACTCTACCCCGTTGAAGATAACACTCTCAATTATTATCCTGTTTAGGACATATGACAAAATGCGTGCCGTTGCTGCGTTTTGTCAATGCCAATGTCGTTCATCATGTCTAAGAATGTGGAAATCTTTAAAGGAATCACTTGGTGACTCTTCTAATGAATTTCGGAGAACTGTTTGGCACTGAGTACATTTAATAGAGGGAGGACAAATATTAAGACCAAATTTATTGCATTCTAGGAAAACATTGCTCCGTGTTCCAGATATCAGAATATCAAGCCGTTTTCGAATATAGGCATTCACTACAGAGTCGAGATCGGTATCCAGGTTTTGGATATATTAGCTAAAGTGAAATGCCCTTGGCGTTTTCTCCGATGAATGCTCCACGTTCTTAGACATCTTGACTGACATTGGCATTGACAAAAAGCAGCAACTTTATCAATAAAATGATAAATATAGCCAATAGAGAAACATATTATATCTTTCGTTGCAGAAATAGGAATTGGGATAGCTCAGACTTAATGCAATTTTTATTTCTTTTCTTTTTTCGTTCTTGAATAATCCAATCTCAAGCAGCATTTGCAAATTACAAAAATAAAGTTTCCATTATTATTTCTCTAATTTATATGATTTTACTGATAAGGTTGAAGCGTGCGAGTGCAAGATACTTGACACAGAACCAAGAATACATTTAAAATACTTTTCATAGGACTATAGGAAGAGGATCATGTGTGGGGGATTCGATCTCTTTGCTCATTATCTCTTCATACATAATGCTGTGACCCCAGGGGAAAGGGGGCTACCTCTAGGAATTCTTGGTGGGATCTGCCGCCCTGTTCTTCTAATACGGCCCCTATTTAGGACCAAAAATTGTCTTTTCCACGCCCATTGTCAGACCTGGTCTGTAAAATCCATACCTGTTTTTATTTCATTATTTCTTGGATTAGAACGCCAACCAAAAGATAGCCTGTTGTTCTGGAGAATATTTTAGTGGTTGTCCTGTGACATATTTCAAGTGCATGCGCAGTTTTGTTCTAACGAGCACGAGGTTTTTTGCTTTTCTGCCACACATTTTCGGAGCAAGCAAGATGAAATTAAATTGTTGATGTTTCGTTTATTTTCTCGTGGTTTTTATGGACTTTCGACCGACCAATTATCCTGGCGAACATCTGGTAGCAGAGCGAGGTTATCTTTTAAGTGGATTTGACGTGATTTACCAGGATTTGTAACCGAACACTGAACTAGATGGCCGAACGACTGAGAAAGGACAAAGCGAAGTACAAAGGCGCCTATACAAGAACCAAAACAAAATTGATGATGACTTTAGAGGGAGGAATGTATTCGAAAATGCAGGTGATGGAACGTTTGAATCTTCTTTCTGCCACTTTTGAGGATGTAGTTCGTGCAGTCGAGAGTTTAGAAGCACATTATGAGACTGTTGGCGACTCATCAAGACTTACCGCCGTAGTGCTTGAGGTAGAAGCTGTGGAGGAAGATTTCAATGAGATCGAACGAATTGTTAGAGGATATTTGAATAGCAGCCCCAGTCAGAGCGGTGCCTTGAGCGTTTCCAGAACAACGCCCACGGGACAGTCTCCCATTAAAGAACAATCCGAACGACTGGAACAAGAAATTAAAATGCGAGAACAAGAGATCACGAAAGTGTTACATGACCTGGAGAAAACGTTCGCCGAACGCAAGAAACAACTTGAGCAGCAATCGTTGTCTACAGAACAGCAACGAAAGGAACCATTTCAGGGAGGTGAGTCAGCTACAGTTCAGGACAATGTAAATGCTAGTGTGAAGAGATCAGAAGAACAGGAACAAAATAGTGATCCGAGAATTCAGTTGACAACACCATTCCAGCAATGTACTTCATCCGTCTCAGATTTAAACACATCAACCTCTGTTAACTTTAGTGGAGCAGCTGTTTTTTATCCCTCGAGTAGTTTTGTTCATTCATCGACTCCAATTGTTTCCAAGTCGTCAATGTCTTGTTTGCCTCCAGTGGGGGACCAACCCCTTCAGCAGCTGCCATTGAATTCCCGTGTGAACTCAACCCAGGCCACACTTGTTGGGTCTTCTACAATACGTCCTTCAGCGTTTTCTTCGAATCAGTTACATGCAGCGGCAGCCCAAGGTCATACTCCTTTCCAGTCCTCGTCATGTGGTAGCCAACTACAGTTTTCGACGCCTATTGCTGGTCAGCCATTTAGTTCTAGTTATGACCAGATCAGTATCGACTCCATGGCAGCTCTGAAACGACTGAGTATTCCCAGGTTTGCAGGCAACAATAAAAATTATGAAGCTTGGAAAGCAGCCTTCTATTCATGCGTCGACCAGGGAAGAGCCTCACCACAATACAAATTGTTACGACTGCATGAGTGCTTGCAAGGAGAAGCCCTTAAAGTTATTGAAAATCTGGGACACTCTGCGGCAGCCTATGAAGCAGCCAAGTCTCGACTCGAACAGAAGTATGGCGGAAAACGCAGGGCACTTACATTACGACTTGAAGAACTGGATGCCTTTAAGCAGATAAGAGAGGGGCATGAAAAGGATCTTGAGCTTTTTGCTGAGCTACTGGATGCAGTAGTAGTGAACCTTACAGATGCTAATCAGGAAGCAGAGCTTGGTAGTGGCTCTCTTAACATCTCACTGCAACGCAAGTTTAACAAGAATCTTCTGGCCAAGTACAAGCAATGGGTCTGTGACAATCATAGAACCGAGGATGTAAAGACACTATAGGAGATTATTGATAGAGAGTCTGAGTTTTAACCACAGCTTCTGAGACAATAGCACGTGTTCTAAGTGGATCCAAGAAAGAGAGAGCGCTGTTTGCCAAAGAAGATTTTGACCCTAAGAAGAAACATTCAAGAAAGTGTAAAGTATGCAAGGAGTCCCACAGCCTGTGGACCTGTGAGAATTTTAAGAAGATGACAGTAAATGAAAGGTGGAACATGGCTAAAGAGCAGAAACTGTGTTTTAGATGTCTCAGTGACGGCCACAGAGGAGAAGCATGCCTCAGGAGTAGGGTCTGTGGGATAAAAGGGTGTCGCTCTCATCACCATTGTTTGCTTCACGAAGACCCAAAGAAAGAAGAGAAAGCCGAAGCAGCAGATGGTTCAAATGCAGTCGGAGCCAATGCCACCATTGAAGGGGGGTCAAGTGAGAGAATCCATACAGCTACTACTGGAAAAGGAACTGTACCCTCGTCAGAGTTTGTAGCCTTAAGAACTGTTCCTGTCTATGTGACCAATGGTAAACGAAGATTGAAGGTGAACGCTCTACCTGATGATGCCAGCAGTAAGACGTACTTAAACAGTGACACTGCGGCTGAACTGGGTCTCGAAGG